CTATTCCACATCAACCCATTCTCCCTTATGATCCATCACCATCTATTTAATATGAATGTTTAGGATGGCTCTCTAGTATTGTTGTTCAAAAAGGATACACCATATGGATAAAATCTTACCATGAAGCATTGTCATCTACTCCTCCATCATTTCCTTCAAACGGCTTAGACCCCTATGAAATAAAGACTACTCAAATCTATCAACTATTTATAGAGTTAAAAGATATACCTACCTCTAAACCCTCTCAGGATATGGATGAAGACTTTGATAAGGAACAGCTACTCTCTAAATCTCTCTCTTCCAAGTAGCACAGAAAATAAAAAAAAGACTTAGCTCAGCTTGTCATCAGATCAGAAATGCATCCACAAGAGTCTGCGATAATTGAGGTCTCACCCTCAATCACGAAAAAAGGAATTTGCTTTACTTTCATCATATATCCTTTTGCTTGAGTCGGTTTTGTCTTGTAATAACCCTTGTCAAAAGTTACTTTTTGACTTTTTGGCAAAGTTGTTTGCTTTAGTGAAGTCGGATACTTTTCACTTTTGCTTTATGTCGAGTTTGTCTAAAAGTAAATTTGCATATAATGTTGGTTTGTCCTCTTGTAATCATGAAAATCTTGTCCTGATCCTCCTCCATTTATTTATATAAGGAGGTTTTCATTTGGACAAGTAAAAATTTGCATGTTTCTCAATTATGTCTCTCCAAACTCTCTCTCTCCCCTCTCCTAAAAGCTTGATTCTTCAATATCTTACTTCTATCATATTAAGATTCAAGTATGCTTTTCACTTGCCTCTTTGAGGAGCCTATGCACTAGAACAAATCAAACTAACAATCCATAAGTGTGAGATCATGTCACTATGCTTAAAAATGCATGGGTAAAAGTGTCAAGGGGTTAAAAATCCCAAAGTAGCCTAAGTTTGCCCAAGAGAGGCATTGAAGAGCCTTACCTAGACCAATATACCCTAAGATATGTTGACACAAGGATCTCTAAGTCTAGACGCACATGAAACTCATCCACCTAACTAAATTGATCTTCTAAGTGTCATCTCCCATATGCAAATATTACATCAAAGCTGCCTTTGCCACAAAATTAAATAAGACATGTGTATTTTCCTAATATTCCAAATTTCAAAATCAATATCAATAATTTAGCTACCTTTCATTAGCTCTGGTGAGATGGTTATAATAAATTACTTATATATAGAATCAAAGTGAGTATTATGGTAAGTCATTAAGTGTACATGTAATTTCAGTTATTCAATATCCATCACGATTAATATTTTAGGAGTGTGATCACCCACAAAAAAAAGACAGAAAAGAGTTGAAATTAACCAAATTAATTAGAAAAAAATACAATAATAGGTCTCTATGCTTTGATTGTATTTTTTTTTTTAATCCATGTAGTTTTATTTTTCATTATTCTCAGTCCCTTTAATTTGACTTGTCTATAATGTTAGCCTCTATAACTTTAAAAATGTATATGAAGACCATGAGCTAACACTAACAGAGTTAATTTCATTGTAACTCAGTTAACCCCTTTACTGATTTTTTTAAAAATATGTTGACATGGAAGAAATTGATCAGGTTAAGGAGGGAAAAGGCTTTCTTTTTTATATTTGATTTAAACAGAATGCGAGAGATGAATACAAGATCAAGTACACATCAACAAAAGAATTAACAGAGTTAAGAACATGTAGTAAAATTAACTATGTCAGTACCGGTTTATGATCTTTAATAATATACATTTTTAAGACTTTAGGAACTAACATTGAAAACAGATCAAACTAAAGGAATTGAAAACGACAAAATAAAGTTTTAGGGAATTAAAAAAAAAACTAATCAAAGTACATGGACCAAGTGTTATATCTTGATGGGTTCAATGGCTCCACATTATCCTAGAATCTGGAATAGTTGATAATATAAAATATTAGATTGTAATTAATTAAAAAAAAAAAAAGCGATGTGTGACTAAGGTGTTAACAGATAAGGTGGAGTGGATAAAGCAATATGTCAGTACTCATGAAGGACTCAAAGCATGTTTCATGAAGGTGTAAAATACTCCTTAATTATCTTGACCTAAAAAAATACTCCTTAATTATATCAATATCACGTTATCTTAGGACAATTTTAAAATAAGTGCCTTAGAAGTCTAGCATTGTAGGAAAAAATATTACCTCTTGACATTTCTCACGAGGCATCTAATTCCAGGCCTTGAAAGATTTGAGATGCGCTTAAATATTGTATTATTCAAGCAAATGGGCTGGGCTGGGCCATCAAATGGATAGAAATAACAACAAAAAATGGGCCTTTGTTGGACTAAACTTCTAAGCTTATTCCTGCCATATATTCCTATTATTGTTTTATTTTTATTTTTTTTCTTGTTTAAGGGTATTTTCATCAAAAGTGGGCTTTTGGAATCCTGAAAATAAATGGTAAATTCCTTTTAACTACGTTTACTTCATACACAAGTATTAAATATTGAACTACTGACACTCGTTTAAATTTTTTATTTACTAAAAGAAAAGGGGACAGTCATTCATATTTCAGTGAAAATGTAACTTTGGGGTTCCTAAACCTTTCAAAAATTATCAATTTAGTTATTGAATTTTGATTTAAAATAATTCAATCTTTATAGTTCTTGACTTGCAACAATTTAATTCTTATGCTTTTTTTACTCAATACAATAATTTTTGAATTGAATAAAGTATATATAAAGATTAAATTATATTGAGTCAAAATTTAAAGACTAAATTGATAATTGAGAGAAAATTTAGGGATTAAAAGTTATAATATCTCTTCATATTATATTGATTTTGAAAAAATACATTAAATGAAAAAGATTACCTCGATTGTCACGTGTTGTGATGCTCCCCTGGTTATAATGAGAGAATTATATACAATTCCAAATGAAAAAAATTAATTACCCATAATTTTCAGCCACTTGCAAATGCTATATTTTAATATGTAAATATTGAAATTTTACTTATAAATAGAATTGAAAATAATAATAAATTTTTTTATTTGAAACTTGACTATAATTCTTCCAATCCGTGTACGTATGTGTGATCATTATAGTAATTCCTTACAACAAGGAACCATTACAAAACGAATGGTCTTCTGATTTTCAGATCTCGATGGCGTATACATGATCCAATTGCCAAAAAAAAAAAAAAGAACCCTTCAAGATTAATTATAGCCGCAATGTAGATCAATTCTACCTTCAAGAAAAAGTCAAAACTTTTTAAAATCAAAAGGGACAAAACAAAATCAAAGAGAGTTGCATATAAGCCAATGATCTATCATATTCATGAGTTGACGCAAGACTTTTGCAAAGAGATTAGAAAATACCAATAATAGTTAGAGTGAGTGAAAGAGACTCAACTTTCTTAAAATAATTACGTTAATGGTTTAATTGGTAGATAAAAAAAACTTGTTAAAAAAATTACTCTTAATTAAGTTTGAAATGCTCTAATACAATCTAGCTAATATCTATTCAATATCATATAATTGCATAAAAAATTATAAAAAAACATTATCATTGTTAATATTTTATCCCTCTAAAAGGGAACCAAAAGCATGTTGCTTGTGCCGCAAAATACAGGGCACATGGTGGTGAACTTTGTTTCTGACTCATCCCTTCAAAGAAAAACTATTGCTTCTTACAATATACTTGAAGCACAAGCCTTAGCTTCTTCTCTATCAAGCTATGTAAATATTATACACACACACACAAAATGAGTTTGCTTTTGAAGCATCATGCATGTGTATGGACACACATGTGCGTAGCTTCTGGTTAACTCAACCTAAATATTTTCAATCATACCCTAGCCAGCTTCGATTCAGCTTTAATATTTATATTATCATCATATATATTTTATATCAGGAACACTTGTAAGCTCTTCAAGATATTTTTGTTGTTTATTCTAGTTGCATATATACCATTATTTCCCCACACTCTAAGCAAAATGAAACACTATCTCAAGCAAAATGAAACATGTTTTTGAGCCATCAAAAAAAAAATTTATTTCTCAGCAGGGATAATCAAACTTTTGATCCCTTAAATTTGTCTTAATCATTGCTTTGGTCATAGAAATTTGATCTTCATCCATAAAATATTTTGAATTTTTTATAATTAATCATACACAATTAATCATTACGGTTTTATTTCCCCTTCAGATCATAAGGACTAATTATATATGATTATAAAACTTTAGGGACTTGATTGATAAATATTAAAATTAAGGGCCGAGTTGATTATTGAAAAAAATTTGATGGACACAAAGTTTTATTATCCATTTTCTATATTTAAATGAGTAAAAATAAATTGATGCCTTGGATACTATTAGAAGCGTTGTTCTTAGATCTGGGTTGGCCTGGCCAACTTGGCTGATGAATAAACATTATATATTTACGTGATCGATAATTTGACTAAAACTATACTGATGAAACATTAAATTAATATTCCAGACTATTCAACGGTTTCTCCAGTATTAAAAAATTGACAATTAGATGAAATATTCAGTGCCTCGAATTATTATAATGTATTAATTATAAGAAAAACATTTAACTACTGTAAACTTCATTCGTATATCAAAATTATAAAGCTCTCGTACAAGTTGAGATCCTCTCAAATTATATAGCAAGACACTCATGCATGTTATCTTAGAGGATCAGAAAATTCATTACAATTATTAAGATTGTTTTTAATTTCAAAAACTTGTTTCTGAATTGCTTGGACTTTATTATTTCATTTACGTGTTCACCGTTACAAGCAAAGCTATATATATATATATATATATATATCCTTGAATTATGACTTCATACAGATAATTTTCTATCTTGCAATTGCATTAACCTATCATATTTTCTCTGTCATTCTTCATTTTTTCTCTCTCCATTTAAATTAATAATTCACCGACACCATCTTTTACCCTTCTTCACTCTACCACTTGATCCAAGAAACCCAACCCCACCAAACATATATAAACATGCCCACTCTCAGATCCCAAGAAAAAGGAACACAATATCACAATCATCATCATCATGGCTCGATCTCTGTTATTATTATGCTTAAGTCTCTTTCTTCTCGCCTGTCTTGTTCCAACAGCAACATCAAGATCAAGAAGATCATCGAAACAATCTTTGTCCAGCAACATTCAATGGTGGTGCGATCGAACTCCACACCCAGAACAATGCAAATTCTACATGATGAGCCACAACCACCATGGTCAGAGGCTGAAGCACAAGTCCAAGTTCAGAGTCAAGCTGGTTCAGCTAGCTCTGGATCAAGCCAAGTACATGAAATATAATGCTCCTGGTGGCCGTGTCGGCTATGAAGAAAATGGCGACTCAGAGAAGCTGAAAGCTGTGTATGGTGATTGCTTCAAGCTCTACGATAACACCATCTTCTATTTGAACCAAACCCTCCTAGGGCTCAGATCAAAACGTCGTCGTGGTTGCTCCGCCATGGACGCTCAGACATGGCTGAGTGCTGCTCTCACCAACATACAAACTTGCAAGAATGGAGCTAAAGACTTAAAGCTCAGAGTGCCACAATTTACGGAGTCAAATACTGAGTGTTACAATGTCTCCAAGATGATAAGCAATAGCTTGGCGATAAACGCAGCGTTTCTGACAAGATCTGAGAAACGTGAGCTTTATAGTAATGCCATGGAGAACGAGGGGCATGGATTTCCCAGGTGGGTTTCAAGGAAGGAGAGGAAGCTGGTGACAGTGACGGCGGCGAAGATAAAGGCCAATCTGGTGGTGGCGAAGGACGGGACCGGGCATTTCAGGACGGTGCAGGCGGCGATAGACGCGGCGGCGAAGAGGAGGTACAAGACGAGGTTTGTGATAAGAGTGAAGAGAGGGGTTTATAAGGAGAATATTGAAGTTGACAAGACTAATGAAAATATAATGTTGATTGGTGATGGTATGAGACAAACTGTGATTACGGGTTCTAAGAGCGTTTCAGATGCTATTACCACCTATAGCAGTGCCACTGCCGGTAAGCATCTTCTTCTTCACCTTGCTTTTATATTTTTATTTTATTTTATTATTATATGTTGCATGAGTTTAATTAGATGTTTATTTTTAAATCGTTTTAATTTGTATGATAAATGAATAGAAGAAATTCTTTTAAAAAATCTAATCTTATGTTATTGAATTGTAATTTTTTTTTCATGTATTATATTTTTTAATCAATTATATGAATAAGAACTTAATGATTTTGTTTTTTTTTTTTAAGCATTAAAACATGTAGAGGTGTATTTCAATTTCTCTAGATATGGACATTCAATAGATAAATACTCTCCCGATCTAAATATAAGATCTCAATTCACCTTGTCTCCCAAATTTATATTCCTTTTAATCCTAATTATAGGGTAAATTTTTAAAATCTTAATTGGTTCAAAACATATGTAGTAATTAATTTTTTACAATATTACCCCTCTTTGACTACATCAAATCGTGATTACTAGAAACATTTTATTGTAGTAATTAATTTTAGTAAAAGGCAAAATTTGAAAGTCAAACATTTTTTATAAGTTTAAAGATATTAATTATCATTCATTAAAAATGTAAAATTGATTAACCTATAATTAGGACCAGAGACAGTATTTTTTTTTCCAAACTATCCCATTAATTACACATATTAAAGAAGGGTACCGTTTTCATCAACGAGGCAAGTTTTCAATACAAATTATGGGTGCATAAGAAAAACCGTCACATTTTTCTTGCAAATAACTAATTAACTAATCTCTTTAATATCGATAAATTAGTTATCTAATTCTTACATTTAGAAGTTTAGTAAATACACACTCCAAATCACATTATAAGGCATCTTCTAAAAACCTTATTTAGTTCAAAATATAGGATATTAGATAACTTTTATATTTATTTTTTCAACTACTTCATTTATTACTCTTTTAAAAAATCATGCATTAGAATTTTAATTAATATTATCAAGATATATAGGGTATTTAATGAATATATAAATGAAAAGATGTAAACATTTTTAAGAATTTAATATTTCAATTAACATTATTTGTTAAATGTAAATTATTTAATTATGATTTATATTATGGTCTAAAGGAAATAGTCATTAAATTTAGAATGGAAGGGAATAGTAATTAAATAATCCTAGTCACATTGTGCGTGCCAAAGACAATGGGGTTGAACTTTGACAAAGTTTAAGATTGATTCATATTTTACAAGCCACACGATATTTTCTAAAATTTGCTCGAAATATCAATTTCATATGTTCTTTCATAGTTTATATTTTTCTCCAAATTTTTATAGTTTATATTAACTCTTTGATTAATCATTAACTTGTATAGGCATAGATGGCCCTCACTTCATTGCACGTGACATAACATTTCGAAACACAGCTGGCCCTCGCAAGGGACAAGCAGTGGCACTCCGATCATCCTCCGATCTCTCCGTCTTCTATCGATGCAGCATCGACGGTTATCAAGACACTGTCATGGCTCATGCACAACGTCAATTTTACAAAGGATGTTACATATACGGAACTGTGGATATCATCTTTGGCAACGCCGCCGTAGTTTTCCAAAACTGCGTAATTCAAGTAAGAAGGCCATTATCGGGCCAGGCCAATATGATCACGGCCCAAGGTCGGGGCGACCCGTTCCAAAATACCGGCACCTCAATACATAGTTGCATAATTAAAGCTGCAGCAGACCTCAAGCCCGTTGCGAGCTCTATCGCGACCTACCTAGGTCGGCCTTGGCAAGAATACTCTAGGGTTGTGGTGATGAGGTCCTACATAGACTCAATGGTGAGCCCATTGGGCTGGTCTACATGGGGAAATACCAATTTTGCCCTGAATACATTGTATTTTGGAGAGTATAAGAACTTTGGACCGGGTTCATCCACAAGAAATAGAGTAAAATGGAAAGGCTTTCATATCATAACTAGGGCAAGTGAAGCGTCTAGCTTCACTGTGAATGGTCTCATTGCTGGGAGTACATGGTTGCCATCAACTGGAGTTCCTTTTACTTCAGGTCTATAGCTAAATTTAATTTTATGATTAATTAAGCGATGACATTTTAATTATATTTGACTCGATGTTTAAGTTGTATTATAATTTATTTGGAGGAAATCATAACTACAATATTCTTTTGTACATTTGTTGCGTGTTCTTGAATTTATTTTCGTTTTCCTGTGTAATAGTGTTTATTATTCTTTTGTTGCAGCTTACCCTAACATAATGGATTACATTGGCCATGTTTGGTCAACACATTAACCAGATGAACAGAAAAATATTTACTTTTTTCCCCCAATTGAACAATTAATGTTTCGGATTTACTAATCCAATTTTTGTGATTCAAGAAAAAAATATCATTTTTATTTTTGGCAATAAATAACTTTAAGTAACATTTAGCCTTTGAGCTTATTTATTATTTTTATTATTATAAATATTTTTTCTTATTGTACTTTTTTAAATTTTGATAAAGCAACATGATCCAAAGTCAATATAACTCTTAAAGTACTAAATATGATAATTTTAAGGTTAAAGTATGTGTTTTCAATTTAGTCTTTTAATTTTATAAAGTATTTTTTCATCAGTCATTTAATTACCCTAACATTGTTAGTTTTAAATAATTTTTTTATGTTAGCAATTTTAGTTTAAAGAAAATTTAACTTAATATGTTAAAAATTGAGAATGTTTTTTCAATATTTAAAATTTTGATGTAATATTTTTTGTTCACAAAATTAATAACGTTAGAGTTAAAAATCTGAAAAGACATCTTATAAAATTAAAAAATTAAAATAAAATTTTGTGTAGAGTGAAAGAACTAAAGGCGCACTTTAGTCTAATATTAATTACAATTATAATGTTTGTACAGTCATCAATATAAATATAAATATAAATATAAATATATAATATAAAGTCAATGAGAAATCACCTTATTTATGAGATAGAATCTTCTTGATAACTACTAAGGAAAACCATCATTATTCATTATGTATTGGTATTAGAATTCGTATGTATGTACTATGTAGGAGTAATATATGTTGCAATAGTTTTATGAAAAAGTTGCCAGTAAGTCTCTTCTGGGTACTGAAATTATGTTGGAGGACTAAAGGATCAGATACAACAAATAGATAGGTCGTATAGGGTACAAGCGGATTGTCATGAAATCCCAAGCCTATCTTTTTGCACACTAAATTTATTTGCTTGCACCTATTCTTTTGATCCTTCAGCACAATTTTGATTTCAAGAAGGGCCTTACTAGCAATTTTCCTTAATTTTATATAGTGTTAGCTTCTTCTTTTTTTTTTTTTGTGAGACAGAATTGCCATATTTTTTTAGAAAAATGACAATAAATCTCCCTACATTATATAAATGATAATTTAATCCTTCCAAATACCATAATTTTATTGAAGTCCCCAAAAAATTCTGTGTCAATAAATTTTAAAGTGAAAAAATTATCTTACCTTTATTGATAATTAAGTTGTTATTTCTTGTTCAATTCTTGTAGTTTTTTAAATAAAAATGTTTATTTTTTAAACAATAATTGTGATTGGAGTTTGTTATTTTAAAAACTTATTTTTTAATAAAAGAAACCACACTTGATAAGTTGTGATTTCTTATTCAACTCTTGCAATTTATAAAATAAAAGTTGTTATTTTTTAAGTAAAAGTTGTGAAGAGATTTTTTTCAATAACAAAAATTATAATTGATAAATTTTAATTTCTTATTCAACTCTTATAATTTACAGAATAAAAGTTATTATTTGTTAAGCAAAAGTTGTGATTAGGGCTTATTATTTTCAATAAAAATAAAATAATTTTTTTACTTTAAAATTTATTGACACAGAAACCCATATGAACTTCAATAAAATTATGATATTTTAAAATATCAAATTGTTATTTATATATTTGGAAAGATTTTATTATTATTTTTTCCTATTTTTTGGACAAACAATTGATATGTTCTATCACATGGACAATTCTTACAAGGGCCCAAATTTAAAAAAAACGACCCATTCTGAAAACATTGGAAACTTAATCAATGATCTAACTTCTCAAGCCCTTTTGACTCTTTTATATTGTAGAGGAGGCTGGTATATAAACTATTTTTTTGTGGAAAGGTATATAAACTATTTTAATTTCATTCATAATACTAGAAGATATATATATATATATATATATACTCCCTCCTGTCCATAATATGCGAAATTTTTTAGAAGCTTTATTTGATACAAAATATGGGGCATTTAGTAGTTATTACAATTTTTTTTCAACAATACTCTACTTTATATATTTTTTTTATAAAATTGATTTATGAGAATTTCAATTGTTATTATTAAGGAATGAGAATATAATTGAAAAGATGTATATTTTTAAAAAAAATTAGAGTTTCAACTAATTTTTTAAAACTATGAATTAATTATTAATGATTTATATTATGGATCAGAGAAAGTGTACCTATGTGGGTGTGTATAAAGTACCATATATTAACTTGAACAACTCATGAAACTCGAGGCAATTTATTTATATGAAATTGGATCAAATCAAGGGGAAAAAACCAAATGAACATAACGAAAGAAATTAATCATGTTGACCATAAAGGAAGGACAGGCATATAAGACCAACACCATTATGTTTTAATTATTTATATTTACAGTAACACATTTTACAAATTATTTATTTTTAAATATTTTTTAAATATTTATATTGAAGAAGCTTATATTTATTTTATCAGTTACATATATAATGCAGAGTAAGCATAAGTATTAGTTAAATTTGATTCATTTTAAAATCAACCAATTAACATTAATTGCAAGCTTTATTTGCTCACCACCACTAGAGTTGGAGCCATAAGCCATGTTTGCTATATAGGATGCCATATTGATAAGGTCTAACTCTTATTATGAGAGTTCATGGTTGAGTTTGTAATCAAGTTTGCATGTAATTTTTTCCAATTTTTCTCAAATATAATATATAACTAATAAATTCAAATATAGTATATAAATTATAATATCTAAAGTCCAATCTGCAATTCTAATAAAACTTTAAAAAAATAAAATATAACACAATACAAATGTTCTTACATTCAACACTTTCAACTTAAATTCCAGACATCATGTAAAGAATTAATAAGTATCAATTAAAATAAAATTAAAGAAAAAATAATTATATAAAATAAATAGACTTTAATTAATTCTCTAAGAATATTGAAATCAAATTATAAATTTACAATTTACATCATAAACGTATCATGAACTTTAATGATTTTTCAAAAAAAAAAGTAATGGATCTAATGTTTTAGGGGAAAAAACTCTATAAGCTCTTGTTTTTCATTTTGAAATCAATTATTAAAACCCAGCCTTGAAAATATGGGATAAAATGGGTTGATCCTACGAGCCAGGCCCATATTCATGGCTTTTACTTACCACTTATACCAATATAGTTAGTGTATTTGATTTTGTATTTGTTTTTTGGCCAAAGTATTTGGTGGCCTTCAATGTAAAACCAAACGATGTAGTCCTAAAATATATTTTTCTACCTTAATTAAGTTGCCATGTTCATCTACCGTTTTACACATCATAAAAGATGTTTGACTTTAGGTTGTGTTTTAAAATTATAGATTCTAAATTCTTTATTTAGATTATATAAAAAATTTTAAATTACAATATTAAAATTCTTTGTTTGAATCTAAAGTAAAATTTTAAATTTTAAATTCTATATTTGAATTTAAAAGAAACTTGAAAGATTAGTCAAACTTGACGAATTAAATGGCCAACTTCCAACAGGATCAAACAAACAAAGTCGATTGGGACCGTGGCACCGGTAATGATTGGGATGGGACCTCCAACTTCTGCCAGGATCGGATTGATGACGATGACGACAGGGACCGAATGATCAACTTACACCTTGATTAGAATGACGATGACGATAGGCAATGGATAGCCAACTTCCACTAGGATCGGACAGACGATGATGGGGACCTGATGGTCGACTTTCACTAAGACTGAATTGATGACTACAATGGAGACGAGACAGCCAAGTACCACCAAAATTAGACAGGTGGCGATGATGGGCACCGAACAATCAGCTTTCATTGAGACTGAATTGACAACTACCACAAGCACTGGACGATGGACTTCTATTGAGATCAATTATGACGACGAGAACCAGACGACCGAATTCTACCAAGATCAAATCGAGGATGACAAAGAGGACCGAACAACTGACTTCTATCGGGATCAGACCGATGATGATGACAAGGACCGGCCAACCAACTTCCACCAAGACCAGACTGACGGCTACAATTAAGACTAGATAGTTGACTTCTATTAAGAACAAACTGATGCCAATGACGAGGACAGGATGACTGACTTTCATTAAGATCAGACTAACGATTGCAAGGGGCACAGGAAGACCAACTTCCATAGGGATCGAACAGCTGACTTCTAATAGGATGATACCCATACTGATGACGGGGACTAGACGACTGACTTCCACTGGCACCGAAATAAAGGGATGGTGATGGAAAGCGACCTTTCGATCCTCGCCTGTTGGAAGTTAGACTTTTGGTCCTCGTCATCACCGTCGGTTTGGTCCCGATGGAAGTCGGTCGTCTTATGCCTATCGTCGTCATCGGTCTGGTGCTAGTGGAAGTTAGTCGTCTTGTCCTCGTCATCACCTCGGTCCAATCCCATTGGAAGTTAGCCGTCCCATCCTAATTGGTGTCATCCTGGTGGAAGTTGATCGTTCCGTCCCCATTAGTGCCGTCTCGGTGAAAGCCGGTAGTCTTATCCCCATTGTCGCCATCAGTTCGGTCTAAATAGAAGTTAGCTGTCCCATCTCAGTCAATAGTGGCAACCTGTTTACGTCAACTTTGGTGGTTCAGTTTAATTATCATTGGCAGGTCGATCAAAGCTTTCATACATTTGAGTCAAATTATAAAAGAACTTGAATTAAAATTTAAAATAATATGGGTTTAGAAAAGATTTCAAATTACAAAGAGATTAAAGGAGAACTTAGATTTGGAAATCCAAATCCATACATTTTTAATTATCCAAACAATAGATTTGGCTCAAATTCAAATCCAAATCTAAATTCATGTATATCCAAACATAGCATTACAGTTAACTCAAGGTAATTACTTAGTATAA